GTGTGTGTGTGTGTGAGTGTATTGTGTATTTGTTGTTGTTGTTGTTGTTGTTGTGTGTGTGTGTGTGTGTATGTCTGTGTGTGTTTGTGTGTGTGTGAGTGTGTGTTGCCTTTCCTAGCAAGACGTGACTAGCCTATTATATGCTATAATAAAATGTGAACGTTTCGTTACACTATACCTATATATATATTATGTACGTTAGTACATCTGTGTCATGACGTGGTGGAATCAGGCGCTCGTCAATTTTTGGGCATGTGGTGTTTTTTGTATAATTTTGAAAGCTGATACATGATGCATATGCCTTGTTTCCAATGAAATATATACCAATCCATCTTGAATAGAACTCAAGATATTTGCGATTGAAGGAAATGAGGTCGCCCTGTTTCAGTGGTGAAATTAACATGAAAATGGCCGCCAAACGTTAGGTACTCCAATAGCTAGAGAGTCCTTGAAAAGAGAAAAATCACATATCTTAAAAAATGTTTTTTCCGTAAAATTCACACGGAAATGTGTTTTAATATGGACATAATTATAAAAGGATGAGCTAAAAAATAAAAATTCGATGTTGTTGACTGGGGTGTCTGTGGACTACCTGCCCACCCTGAGAAGAGGCCATTCATATTGAGGAAAAACAATTCGATAAAAATGTCCAAACTGGCGGAAAAATGCCTGTTTCTTCGATTTCTGTATTTTGAAGAGCGCCTGATCGCACCACGCTGCCACACATTTGTAGGGCGTGAACTACACCTACACCTAGTTCCATCAACAAACTCGTGTGTTTTTCCCCCCAGGAAAGTACATGGCGTGTTGTCTTCTGTACCGGGGTGACGTAGTACCCAAAGACGTCAACGTCGCCATAGCAACCATCAAAACAAAACGCACGATTCAGTTCGTGGACTGGTGCCCTACTGGCTTCAAGGTGAGACGAATGAAAATTTAAAAAAAACAATACAAAGGTGACAGTTCAGCTCGAGATCGAAATAATAAAGTAGAGAAGTTTTGCAATTCCTCTTTGGGAGTAGGGTTGTTTTTTTTTGGGGG